ATACCACTAATACAGATATAGTCCAACGTCACGCGCAAATATTTACCGATCGTTAACTTCAAACTTACCACAAATGCAAAATTCTTTACTATATCGCATTGTGAAACCTTTCCGTATTTTTCAAACAGTTCCTGTAGAGAGGCTCTTCTGCATCGGTCTGGAAGATTTCCAACATACAACTTCACTTCTTTATCGTCTTCGTTACCGTCTTTTTCGGTGGTTTGGGTGTCATTGTTGTCTTCTTTGGGTTCCGCAGTCGTAGCTTCGTTATCTTCTGTCTTCTCATCTTTCTGTTCATCAATGACCGCCGTAGTGTCGTTGTTTGTGCTTTCTTCACTGGCCATATCTTCAGAACGTGTGCTAGGTGAGGAACGACAATGGTAGACAACATGTGATAAACCAAGCCGTCCCGTCAGACGCTGCGATAAGTAAATGCTCGGGAAAGACTGGCACTGACAAGTTTATTTGTTTGTACCAGTAATACGAATGAGTTTCCGTGAGAGAGGAGTTTCCATGAGAATGTTTGTTATTTGGACAAAAAATACGCTAAACTACCCGATAACACAGGGATTCAAGATATCCAAAAGGCCATAGAGGAAACAGTTTCCCTGCTGCTTTTACATGTGGCCTCTAATGATCAAAGGTTCGAATGCAAACTTGAGCCGTCTGGTAGTTTTTACGAGGGGACAAAAATCAGACAAGCCGATGAGTTTGATTTTATGGTGTGCCTTTCCAAATTTTCGGGAAAATGTGACGTAGTTTATAGGGACAGAAACAAGCGGCACATCTTTTTGCGCATGCCAACACTCGACGAGGATGAAATGCGTGATTCATGGTCAGAATTTTGCAGTGAGGTAAACAATGCTGTCGATCCTTTTGACCCTACAACTGATGGCAACACCTGTCTTTGTTTGAACGGCAGTATGTTGAAGCAGAAGTTTTATTCATTGCTAAGAGAGGCATTCAAATCGATATCCTGGCCTTCAAATATAAAGTTGCTTTCTTCCACTGGTCTTACCTTTGATCGGTTGAAATTAATTGGAGCCATGCAGGCTGCTGCCTCAGAACAAGTAGATCTCTTGAGGAAAGATCAACTTAAGGTGTCTGTAGATTTATCTTTGGCTGTAGAATGTAAAGGATGGCCTTTGTTGTCTGGAATGTTTGACAGTGTAATTGATGAAGGTCATCCGGCCTTTCCGATCAAGAATGAAATCAAGAACTCTGGCTTCCATGCAGTTTCAAAGCTCGGACCTATTTGGCGAATTTCCTGGTCCAGAGCAGAGGCAACTATGCTTAAATACATTTTCAGTGAAAATGGAAAAGCTGCTGTAGTTTATCGTGTGGCAAAACTGATTAATGAAACTCACTTTGTAGAAGCTTGTGAACACACAACTGTCTCAGTTGGTATAAATGTGTGTGACACTTATACTCTGAAGCATTTACTCATGTGCTACTTGATATCAAATTCCTCATGTTGTGGAAAAGACTGTGGTGAAATGCTTTTGGATCTTCTTAATCTTTTACTGGATGGTCTGAGTAGTGGAAACTGTCCTTTTTTTTTTTTCCCCTGCTGGTGCTAGTAGCATAAAAAGTGGACCAGTACTTCAGTGTAACGCAATGGCGTTGAAACAGTGTATAAACAATCTGCTCAGTATGCAAGCAGCGGATATCTCTCAAGTGTCAGTGATAAGCAACAATTTGTTTAGAGATGTAATACCTGTGGTACTACCCCGTCCCCCAAGAAAGATCAGGAGTTATAAAATAACCAAGATACCATAAATGTAAAATGATAATGATTAAGGCATTCAAAATTTCCGTGCATGCAAACTGATTTTGGTTCTGCTTTTTTACACTTTCATTCACTAACTCCAGGTACTCCAACCTATAGTGTTGATTCTTCAATAGATAATAAAAAATGTAGTCTGGCTATATTTAGAATTTTTACTGTCTATTAGCTTTCAAGTTCTGTTGCCTTTTTTAAACATAAACTTCCAATGAGAAGTTAAAAACAGAAGACTTCAAATCTGATAAGGGAAGATGTCTGTAGAATCAATTCATCTTTATATTCAGCTGAGTTCAGGGAGTAAAACCCATGGATATCAATATACTTGTTACTTGCTGTTGCCATGTATCCTGCTTCATCCTTGCATACTTTGAGGAAGAACATGGTGAAACTAAGGAGTGAGAAATATATACTTAAAGTGCACTTCTTTGATTAAAACAACTTATTTTGTTTGATGTTTACTGTTTAATCACAGTTCGTAACCATACATAACTGATACAAATGATACTAAATACTCAAAAAAATAAATAAATAAATAAACAAACAAAAATACAAAAATGGTTAACAGGACGGTAGTAGGGGGAAACCAAATTCACATGTTAAGACATACCCTCCAAAAATAATAATGCATAAACTGATATTAAAAACACTATTCCTAGTATTACAGGAAAATTATGAGCATGGGTACTTAATCAATGAAACTTTAAAAGACTGAAGGCTAGGGGATGACATTATATCAGAAGGCAAAGAGTTCCAATCACTAATATATCTATGAAAGAATGAATATTTAAAATAATTTGTACGGGCAACTTTTGGCCTTATTTTATACTCATGCTTACTTCGAGTACGAGTTAAAAGCATTTCTCGCAGAATAGAATTTCCAAAGAATCTAGTTCAAGATCCATCCTTCGAATAGAGACCAAATCCTAATGCACTGCCAGAAGAACACCTCTCCCTTACCAGACTTTCTGTCGTGACGATGTATATTAGTCATGCAAACCAAGCTAACAATCCAAGGGGTGGCGAATGGTCCTTCAAAACCTCTGGGTCTCGCAAAATTTTAGTCGAATTTCGTAGGTCTCGCAGTCTCGTTTTTTCAGCGGTTATGTACGTCTCGCAGTCTCGTTTTTTTGTACGAAGGTGTCTCGGAGTCTCGATTTTTGCAAGGCTAAGGGGAAGGGTCTCGAAGTCGCGATTCGTTTGTTGGTTCTTTTAAAATGACGCCCTCTATAAATTGAAATAAGCAAACAAATAAGAGAATGCTATGCTTAATGGACCCTTAATCAAATACTTAGTTTGAATTAATAACTTTGTTTTCCAGAAAAATTAATCTTTTGAATATTAACTTTCATTTCCTGTAAATCGTAGCTGGTGGTTTTGATTTCCCCGCTTTCGACGCGATCGCCGGAAAGCGATCGAGTGTATGGTAGATTTAATATTTCGACCTACTTCACCAACTTTTGCCATCTTGGGCAAACAATCCCAGGTAAAACCACCATCAGTGCGACTTGCGGCCTTGATTTTTTATAGAACTGCGGAACTTGACTGGCCAAGCGTGGCGTGGTTGTTTTCGCGAGGCCGGGATTGAAGTTTTACTGGTGCACTAACAGCGGCATATTGATAAATACCAACATTTATCTATAGAGTACTAAAGTAATTCGTGCTTTCGCTTCCGATGAGAAGAAGAAGACCTTACTCCCATTTCGGTTTCCTCCATTGTTTTGAACGCTTCCACCTCAACTGAGTTCAGACACGGCCGCGCGTTCTTTCTGACGACTTCCAGACAACTTGAGTTGAAAGTGGCAGCGCGTCAGTCAAAAAAATATATGATAACGTGTTTGACTCGTCATGACATGTTAGTTTGTTTCGTGCTAAATTCTGCTTTCTCCTTTTCACAAGCGACTTTTGCTAAGTAAGTCGGCTTCATGTTGGTGAGATTTCCTATCAGAACACTTTTCGGTGTTGCGCTGGTAGACATAAAAACACCTGATACATTGCAACAATCGAGGACCACTCAACGCGGTTCGATCACTTGACTGATCAGCCACGCAATTGAATAACAGGCATCATCGAAGCCGTGACTGCACCCTTTTTAATGTTGGGAGAAATTATTTTAAAAGACCCAGATATTAATTGCGTGCAAAGAATGAACCCAAATTTTTTTAAACATAGTGACATTCTAAAGTTCAATGTTATAGTCCCAAAGATTTGCTTTTTGCTTGACCTGCGACAAGCAACAAGAATATCACGTAATGAGCAACATATTNNNNAGACAATTTTCTGAAAAGTTCTCAGAGAAAATTGAAATTGACAGCTCCAGAATTCACACTTCACAGTGTCACGCAAGCAGACGAAAAGAACTTTTACTGGAGTAGGATACGTACGATTACTAGTATGTTCAGATAAACCTTGCAGACATAACTAAATGAATAAAACTTGGACATATCCTGCTTTTTAAAATATTAATAAGGTTTAAATCAGCGAACTTCCTCATGCCTGTGATACTGATCTTTGGACAAGCGTCAGTAAGTAAGTAAGTTGAACACAAAAGAGCTTACGACAAAGCTCGTAAGAATGTGCACGTGCTAAATACTAAAAATATGTTATAACATGAAAAAAAAAAAGAAAGAATGAAAATCGTAATCTTTACAATTTATGATTTATGACCCATCCCTTCCAACCCGAAAATGCGCAGTAAGAAATCCCCAACTACTATAACTACTATGATGCAAAATTCATCATTAATTAACCTTCCCTTTTAACCCAATTTATCTATAAAATATGTAATACTGAAGAAATCCCCAACTACTATAACTATTATCATGTTCAATTAAATATCAGTTGCTCTGTCATCAAACATGCGTGCCGACAGTCTGCCGACGGATACATTATAGACACAGGTTGTTTCACACGCTACATACTTAAATTATTTATTTTTTGATCAGTGTTTTTCATGGAAAAGCCGGAGTTTTCGTAGATTGTACATTCTGAAAAGTAAAACTAATAACTGAAATGCCCAGAAAGTAGATTTGCAACCGAAACCGAAGGTATTAACAAAACGCAACTTTTTGGTACAGTACTCACCAAATATCTTGTGTAAACAAACTGACAACAAGCAAAAATCTGCTAGAGTCTACCACCAATTTAATTAATTTTCTGGTTAAGAAACAGAAACCAAGTATTATCTTAAGTTAGCTTATCATGTTTTAACTTCAAATGTACTTTTCGACATGCGATCAATTGTTTCTTAATGGTCAAGTTAGTTGAAACTTCAATATGGCGGCTGCAGTAAATCTCGAAAACAAGCAAACTTCAAACAAGGGTTACTGCAAAACCAAAAATTATCCCAAAAAATCGAAAGTATATAAGAGAACGTCTATCCTTAAACTGTATCTGCAATATAGTTTTTGGGTTCTTCTTCGAGTATCAACAAGCGTTTTTGGCAGTTGTTTTAGGGTACCATAGAGCTATTGAAAAACAGCCGTAGGGTGTCATCGAGAAAAAAATTCATAAAATATTTATAACGAGAACATATCTGCTTTTCATGTCATCAATGAATTTTTCAAGGCCCTAACTATAATGTTATTGCAAAGGAAAATTCACAGATAATTTTCGACTTACGCTGGCAAGCCATGAATATGACA